GGGGGGAGTATTCATTAGTTAGGGTCATGCCCATGGCCTGTAACACATCCCGTCCCCATAAATTTACAGGGAGTGGCAACACATAGGGGGTAAAACATCCCTGTTTGCCCTCAGCGTTCCGCCAGGTTAAGGCTGAGGCACTGATGGCAGGAGAGGACTGGTATCCAATACCTTGTAGAGAATGAGATGAAACAACAGTGGGCCAAGACTTCGGCCACCAATGGAGTGAAATAATGCTTTTGTCTGCTCCCGTATCCATTATCCCTTCAAATTCTTTTCCATTAATTAACAATTTTATTGTAGGTCTCTCATTTAGGGGTATAGCCAGATAGGCTGAATCACTTCCAGAAGATCCCATAGCCCTTTTTTGTGAAGTGTAGGTTTCTCCATCCCCGAGGGAGGGCAGCAACACCAGTTGTGCAATTCTATCTCCCTGCTTTATAGAAAATACACCCCGAGGGCTAGAACAGAGAACTTGAATCTCCTCTTTATGATACGGGTCAACAATCCCAGGATATATAATGAGTCCCTGTAAAGTTAAGGAGCCACGGCCCAGAATAAGCCCAATGGTGGCAGGGGGCAAAGGTCCAGGGGAATGGACTGGGACCGGTTGAACATTCATTTGGGGCATGAGTAAGAAGTCGGAAGCGGCACGCAAGTCCATTCCGGGGGTTCCTCGGAAGCCTCTACTTCCTCTTGATTGCTTTTCTGAAATCGGTTCCCATATTTCTGAGGGCCCTGGGACCATGGGCCCCGTGACCCGTTTTTTGATTGGGGTACCTTGGGTTCTTCAATAGGGGGCAGAAGCCTCCCTTTCATATCCCGGACTGACCTGCACTCACTAGCCCTATGATAACCTTTACCACAACGACGGCAAAGCTTCAGTTCTCTTGTTCTTTCAGGGGATTGACAATCTTTCTTAAGGTGCCCCATTTTCCCACAATTAAAACAAGCTTTTCGACTAGATAAATCTCTATGCCTGTGCGTTTGTAAAATGGCGGCAGCTAGTCCTGCATTGGTTAGGGGTCCCCCCAGCTCCCTGCACACTCTGAGCCAATCTTGTAAACCTTTGCTTTTGCGAGGGGCGATAGCCGCTCGACATTCCTGGGTTGCTTGTTCATAGACAAGTTGCTCAATCAGGGGCATAGCTTGTTCTGAATCACCAAAGATGCGACCGGCGGCCTCGGTCATTCTGGCCACAAAGTCTGAAAATGGCTCTTGGGGTCCTTGGACAATCTTTGTAAGGTGTCCACTGGATTCTCCCCTTTTTGTGAGGGCCTTCCATGCTTTAATAGCAGCGGCCGACACCTGACCATAGACGCCCCAGATGTAGTTGGTTTGATTAAGGGCATGTTGACCCTGACCTGTCAGCATTTCAAATGTCCACTGCCTCTGATTCTCATCTTCAGCTGTGGCATTAACTCTAGCTTGCGCCTGGGCTGCATCATACCAGAGAGCCTTCCATTCCATGTATTGTCCCATGTTGGGAAGCACTGCTTTCACTGTCGTCTGCCAGTCAGTGGGAGTCATGGCAAAATTAGCAAGCCTTTCCACCTGCATTGTGGTAAAGTTAGCATTGACCCCATAATTACGAACGGATTCGGCCAATTCTTTGATTTGATTGTAATCTACGGGAGTATGTACTCTTCCGCCTTCCACATTCTCGAATACTGGAAAAGCCATTTGTATTTTTCTCCGTTCCTCTAAAGGTAAAAAGGAGTCAGTACCAGTATTCAGCCGAAGCTCATACGGGGAGGCGCCGAGGGGCGTGAGCCCGCCGGATTTATAGGCGGTGGCCTCACATTCATTTTTGTTTTCAGCGGCCGGTGTCTATCAGGGTGATATCTTTCTTCCTCATACCGTGCCACCTCCTCCTCTAGACCACCTTCTTCGCTAGAATCCAGAGTGTCAGAATCGGAATTATCTAGCTCCAAGGCTTCTAGCTCTACCGTAGGGTATAGGCTAGATTCTGGCTTTTTCTTTTTCTTAGATTTGTTAGGGGGTGAATGATCACTCCCTTCTTTCTCTCCCCCTTTCTTAACTTCTTGGGGAGGGCCTTTTTTCTTAGACATGTCTTTCCTTTTGCGAGCTCCCATTCTCTCACTCCGTTCAGTTTCTGACATGCTATCCTGAACTTCCTCTAAGGTTCCCTGACTTTCTACTATAGCAGGGTGACAGGCCTCATCCTCCAAGCAGTTTTTAACTAGCTTCCAAATGGCTTTGGTACCTAAGTGGAGATCTCCTTCTGCATGCTTCCTGTCTAGTTCTTTACCTAGCTTGTTCCATGAGGCCACAGTGAGGGACCCGGAACAAGCATACCATGGTGCCACTCTATCTACCTCCTTCACAAAATTTTGAAGTGTTCGTGGTGCAATTTTGAGATCTCTTTGTTTTAGCACAGTCTGTAGGGCAGTAACCACTGACTGTGACAACCCCATCGCGCTAGCGGCTTATCTAAAAAACGGCGCTCAACTCCTTTACCAGACTGACAGCACCGTTCTGTCAGCACCAGCCACGATGAAGAAGGAGGACAAACAGGACTAGCACCAAAGCCTCCACTGACCCGTCCCACGGTGATGACAAACTAAGGCCAAAGTCGAGAAAAGGGGTGTTCAGGATCAAGCATACCTCTCTGAACTTACGTCCCTGCAGTTCTGAATCCGCCCCGTCTTCCGAGGGGTCTCCCGCGGCGCCGGCGATGTTGAAGAGTTCCCGGGTTTCGGCACCAGATGTCCCGCGCTACCGTCTCGCCAGCAAGAACGACGCAGGACACTCGGATCCTTCTGCAGTAAAGCTTTAATACATCTTGAGAGATAGATGATCAGCTTCTGAGAGGGAGACCCCAAGCTAAGAAACCCAGCCCCTTATATAAGCCTAGGAGCTCCGAGTGAGACGTGTAGAGCCGGGATTGGTGGTTTGCTCATCACCCCAGATGACGGGTGAGGCACAGCTTAAATGGTAAACTCCAACTGACAGCAGATGTCAGCGCCATCTTCTAATGGCGATAGCGATAGCGAGGGCGGCTCCTCACAGAGAGAGAGCATACTAATTCAAAATCAGAAATGAAAAGGGGGACATAGCAACAGACACTGAGGAAATCCAGAGAATCATCAAGTCATACTTCGAAAATCTAAAGGAAATTGACAATTTTCTGGATAGCTCTCACTTACCAAAATTAAATCAAGAACAGATAAGCAATCTAAACAGACCTATAATCTGTAATGAAATAGAAGTGGTCACCAAAAGTCTCCCAACCAAAAGAAGCCCAGGCCCAGATGGCTTCAGTGCAGAATTCTACCAGAAATTCAAAGAAGAGCTAATTCCAATACTCCTCAAAGTATTCCACACAATAGAAGGAAGAGGTTCACTGCCAAACTCTTTTTATGAGGCTATAATTACCTTGGTACCCAAGCCACACAAAGACACAACTAAGAAAGAGAACTTCAGACCAATTTCCCTCATGAATATTGATGCAAAAATACTCAATAAAATACTAGCAAATCGAATCCAAGAACACATAGGAAAAATCATCCACCATGATCAAGTAGGCTTCATCCTAGGGATGCAGGGATGGTTCAACATACGAAAATCTATCAGTGTAATCTACCATATAAATAAGCTGAGTAACAAAAATCACATGATCATCTCACTAGATGCTGAAAAAGCCTTTGACAAAATCCAGTATCCCTTCATGATAAAGGTCCTGGAAAGATGAGGGATGACAGGAACATACCTGAACATAATAAAAGCAATATATAGTAAACCAACAGCTAACATAAAACTAAATGGAGAGAAACTCAATCCAATTCCTCTAAAATCAGGAACAAGACAAGGCTGTCCACTCTCTCTGTATCTCTTCAATATTGTACTTGAAGTTCTAGCTAGAACAATAAGACAACAAAAGGAGATCAAGGGGATACAAATTGGAAAGGAAGAAGTCAAACTCAGATGATATGACAGTTTACATAAGGATTGTCTTTCCAATGGGAAAAATGAAAAACCTGTTCTTCCACCCAGAAAGCTGAGAATTGAAAATGAATAACTGCCTGGTGATCTATGTTATCTGTTGGGTCAGGCCATAGCAAGCTCTTATAATGATGACCTAAATGACCTTTATAGCCAGAAGTTCCCCCAAACTTTCACAGTCAGAACCAGAGGTGGCTAATAGCCCAAATGACCTCTATGCTGTTTGTGTGGCCAAGACCGAGTTAGACCCTTAGGCCCTTAAGCTAGCACAGCTAACATATCTTTAGAACCCATCTTCTTGGAGGAAATGACATGTACACTGAGTTGAGTTTCAATGTAATTACACTTCCTTGTGTAATGGGGATTGTGTTACATCAGGAAACTTTTTTAAAAATTGTATTTGGCTTAAATACATTGGCAATAAAATATCTGTTATTAGACTCACTGAAATCTGTTCCAGTTTGACCAAGTCAATCTGTACCATGCTTGGCTTTCCATGTTTTCATAAGTCAGTTTATACTCTCCTATGTGATATAAAGATTAGGACCAATATATGGCAGAGAAAAGTAACTTCCAATGAATAATTGGGGAGTATGTGTGTGAGATGGCTCAGTGAGTCAAGGTGGTTGCTTCCTGTATGATGACCTGAGTTCAATTCCTGGAACCCATATAGTGGAAGGAGAAAACCGACTCCTGGAAGTTGTTCTCTGATGTCTACATGAGTGCTGTGATGCAGTGTGCACGTATACACAAACTGACACACCATAAACAAATGTAATAATAACAACAATAATAAAAATAAGTAAAGAGTAACAGGGGATAAGATGTTGGAATATAGGCACATTCTTGTGGAGGTATCCTCTGAGTGACTCTTCTGGTCTGTCTGTTCATGAGGTGTCCTTGGAGGAAGAACAGAGGAAATAAGGTATTGGAGGGAAAGTGAAGGGGTCTAGCAAAACAGTGGGCAGTCATGGGAAATTTGAGGAGGCTCTCAACTTTCTAGGCTTCACATCTCCACTTTTTTGTTGTATCAGGAAAATACCATGATGTGTCTGAGAGGACTCACTGGACTCCGTTTCTTAATGCCAGCATTCATTACATTCGGGAGAACTACCCTCTGCCCTGGGAGAAGGTGGGTGTGCCCTCTAACCATACATCAGTTCACCACGGCACTAACTAGCACTTTCGGAGTCACTCCATTTGGAATCTCTGATTCCCAGACTGGGATGGCTAATTATCACTCGGCCTGCAGTGCCATGCACACTAACAGGGACACAGCAGATGCCTAGTCAATACTTAATATTATCAAAGAAAGGTCTGGAGACTGTCACTTGGTCATTTTGCTCCAATGACAGTGAATCTGAAAACCTTCCAAGGCACTACACAGCATTTCAGAAAATTCTATATACTTTCCTGGAACTAGAAGCCATATAATTCATCTGCTTCTAATTCCTTGTTAAGTTTCAGTAATGGAAATTAGTTCATGTTTGTTAAAGTCTTTCAGGGAATCGACATAACCAAACACATAAGACTTTAATTTTGTATTTTGCCAGGACACAGAGAAGTTGGTAGCTTTTTTGTTTGGAATCACCTCTCACATGGTCGCTGATGTCAGCTGGCACAGTCTGGGTATTGAACAAGGATTCCTCAGGACGATGGGAGCGGTGAGTACATATCACCATGAGAGTGCCACTGTCACACCCAGATCAAAAGTGGGCTCAGGCTGGGGTGCAGGGTAGCTCAGAGTAGAACACTTGCTTAACATGCTCTACAAACAAGACTAGATTATTTTAAAGAAAGGAAAACTTGAGGTTACTCACACATCCTGTGGAAATAAGCCATCCTGCCCAAAGTGGCTTCTGGTCAGAGTTTTGTCCTTTTTTTAATGCATACCTTTCATTATTACCACCTCTGAAGAGTCATCCACAAAAGCAAAGAGGACTGATGTGCTGGAAACAGGGACAGATGTGTCTCTTCGGTGTCTTTGAGGCTATGTCTGAATAAGGAAGGGAATACCTGCCACTTGGCTCTGTTCAACATTGCTAGCTCCCAAACAGAATTGCAGTCTGTCCTGATAACTTAGCTGAAAGGCCCAACAATTAATTGTTTTATTTGACTTTTGTCATTTTTAAGCTAAGATTTTATTCTTTATTTTATGTAATTGGATGTTTTGCCTGAGTGTTGTGTATCAGTACATCATGTATATTCAATGCCTCCAGAGGCCACAAGAGGTTATTAGGTCCTCCTGGGACTGGAGTTACAGACAGTTGTGAGCCATCATGTGGTTGTTGTGGATCAAACACAGGTTCTCTTGGAAGGTAAATCAATGTTCTTAACCACTGAACCACCACTCCAGCCTGCTTTTTGCATTTAATTGAACTTTAGTTAGCATATAAGATACTGGGTTTCATCATGATGTTTTCACATACATGTCAGTGTACCTTGCTCATATTTGTCCCTTCTTACCCTCCTCCATCCACTTTAGTCACTGTTAATTCCATTCTATTGGACCGGTAATCTTGGACTCCATTGGAGACATTGCCCATGCCAGGAAGGCACAATTGTCTGGAGCAGTCTTGTCACCAAACTCAATGGCCAACACAGGCAAAAAGGAGAATGTTAGTGTGAAGACCAAGCCCACTAAGATCACTTCTGCTGTCCCCTGGGTCAGGCTGTCTGTCACCTCCCCTCAGCTTGTCTGGCTTAGGGGTGGCATTCTAGGTCACAATCTGTGACATTAACCATGTGCTTCTCTTTGTTCCTCAGATTGACTTTCATGACTCCTATTCTGAGGCTCATTCAGCTGGTGATTTTGGTACTGTTTATTCACTTTTCATATGCTAATTACTTTCTTTATTTATCAGTGTGATACATGTGTATGTGTATATGTGTGAGCCTGTGTGCTCTCATGTGCATGATGTGTGTGTGCATTCGGCCACATTGTGCACGTGTGGAGGTCAAAGGGCCGCTTTAAGGAGTGGTTCCTTCCTCCTTTCTGTGGGTTCTGGGAATTGAACTTAGGTCACCAGGCATACATAGCAAGTGCCTTTATCTACTGAGCCATCCCGCCAACCTTATACATTGTTATTTTTCTAATTGTAATGCTAAAGTTCATTGAGAATTCAACACAGAGATGCATTTCTAAATGGGCATGTTAAAAACATGCATTTGTTGTTGATTTATAATTTTATTTTAAAATGCTCACTTATCTGTTGGATCAAGACCCATCCACTAAATTAGTCTGAGTCACCTGGGCTTTGTCTTGCACTTGGCGACCTCTGTCCTTTTCCTGTGGTAATTCTCTTCAAATATGCACTAGTATTTATTTAAAAGCACCTATCTGGTCTATCTTTCCTTAAAGTAACATAAATCAAAGCTGGCTGTGGTGGCACACACCTGTAATCCCAGCACTTGGGAAGGTGAGAAGGAGGGTTACTGCAGGCTGAAGGGCCAGCATTAAGCACATAGTGAGTACCAGGTCACCAGGACTACACAGTGAGGCCCTGTTAAAATAAACACACAGATAGAGAGTGGAATTGTTTTATTATACAAATGATTCTTAATTCATATGTTTCTCTAGCTAAGATTTTTAAAAGATGGTTTGTTTGTTTGTTTGTTTTTTCTTCAAGACAGACCCAAAACAGAGACAGAGTAGCTATGGGAAAGGTCTGTTTTGTGGGAATGTGTTTGTAAGAAGTGTCTTGCTATTAGCCCACAGACTGTAAATATGTTTCTCTTGCCATAGGAGGAGATGTGTTGAGCCAGTTTGAATTTAATTTTAATTACCTCACAAGGCACTGGTAAGACCAATGTTCTTTTAAATGTGTGATGCCAAACTGGCATTTATGAATGGTTCTTGTTGGGTTTGCTTTTTTTTTTTAAAGTTTATGACCTATTTTCCCATTAGTTTGTCTTTTTTATTTCTTGTTGTAATATCACCATTGTTACTAGGTACTGAACCCAGAGCCTTCTGAATGCTAGGCAGCCATGTTATTAAGTCCTTAGCTGCTGCTGCTGCTGCTGCTGCTCCTCTTCCTCCTCCTCCTTCTTCCTTTTTAAAATTTGAGTCAGGGTCTAACTGAGCCTCTCAGGCTAGCCTTGAACTCACTCATAGCCTAGGCAGGCTCCTTCCTCAGCCTCTCAGAAAGCCTCGGTTATTGGTCTGTGTGACTAGCTCTGGATTTTGTTAGTGTTTTTGAATAGTGTTTTGAATATATAGTTTCTAATTCCTCAATTCCTCATCATTTTGTTAAATTATTTTTTCAATTATCTTTGTGCAGTTTGTAGTATATATTTTCACATAGGGTGATGACAAATAGAACTTGTTAATCCACAGTAGTTGACTATATCTATTCTGCTTAGTTAGGTGTGCTTCTGATGTCTTTTTAAAGAAATATTGTACCTTAAAGGCATGAGAGTATTCTCTTATGTAGCCTTCTAAAACATTTATGTTTTTAAAATATTTATTTTTATTTATGTGTGTGTGCCTCCTTGCCTATATGTGTAACACATACATGCAGGTGTTTTTGGAGACCATCAGAGAACTGGATTCCCTGGAACTGGAGTTATAGGCAGTTGTGAGTTGTCTGATGTGGGTGCTGGGAACCAAACTTGGAAGAGCAGAAAGATTTTCTACATTTAATTTATCTGAGAATTTTTATATAAGATGAAATATAAATTTAACATTATTTTTTCCATAGAGGTAGCCGAGTATTCTAGAACCATGTTTCAGTAGTTTTTCCTCACTGGCCTGCAGCAGATCCTGTGTGCTTTCCTCTCTCTTCTCTTGGTTTGAGTGACTGTCCTCAGAACCCTGGTTCTTTCCATCCCCTGACTTTGCTGTATGTCTGCTCCTATAAGGGCAGAGCTTCCTATTTGTCTCCTGTCTTAGTGACCTTTGAAATTACTGTGAAGAGATACCATGCTCTTATAAAAGAAAGTATTTAATGGGGTGCTAGTGGTGGGCAGGCATGGTCCTGGAGCAGTAGCTGAGAGCTTGCATCTTATCCACAAGCAGTAGGCAGAGAGAGAAACAGGGAGGGACAGAGAGGCAGACACTGGGCCTGGTGTGGGTTTTTGCCCAACAACTAGGAGCCAAACATTCAAGTATATGAGCTTGGGGGGGGCATTCTCATTCAAAGCATCTTTCTTCTTCAAAGGTACCTTTGTCTTTGCTGCTTCAGATGAAATTTAGGATCAGGTTGATGTGTTTCAGGAGAAACTTGTGATTTTAATGAAAGGTTATTGATTCTTATAGTACAGTTCTGTCCTCAGCAGAGAAGCAGCTTGAGCAGTAGATGAAGGGCAACACAGATACTCAGAGCTGGTCAAAGAATAGAGAGTAAGCGCCTGTGAGGTGACTGGTCATACATGGGACATCTGTATCACCTGACTCCAAGACTCGGGGACCTTCTCAGAAGAGGGAGTAGAAAGACTGTAAGAGCCAGAGGTTGGGGAGGACTGCTGAGGAGGAGTCACTCCCAGACTCCCAGCATCTGTGGGAGGACTGCTGAGGAGGAGTCACTTCCAGACTCCCAGCATCTGTGGGAGGACTGCTGAGGAGGAGTCACTCCCAGACTCCCAGCATCTGTGGGAGGACTGCTGAGGAGGAGTCACTCCCAGACTCCCAGCACCTGTGATTGCCTGCACAAGACCAAGCCAGTCAGCATTCCAGCATGGAGGAGGAAGGTACTCATGACTCCCTCTCATAGCTGAGGAGTCATTGACAGTTGAGGGCTGCTAGGGGAGTTTTCTGTAGGGTGTGGTCCCTAGCAGGTGGAACAAGCTCCAATGGATGACTCCTTATGCACGTTCATCTCCCTGCTTCCCACCCTGTACCTTCTTTTCATTTTTAAAAAGATTTATTTATTTATTATGTGTACACCACTCTGCCTGCATTCATATCTGCATGCCAGAAGAGGGAACCATACCTCATTACAGATGGTTGTGAGCCACCATGTGGTTGATGGGATTTGAACTCAGGTCCTCTGGAAGAGCAGTCAGTGCGCTTAACCGCTGAGCCATCTCTCCAGCACCACCCTGTGCCTTCTGAGGTTCAGTAGAGAGTAAAGCAGGCTTTCCTTGCTTGCCATCCAAAGGTTCTACTTTCTGTTTGAGTTGGACTTTGGAATTGTTTTATTTTATTTTTACTTTCTTGCTAGCTTAGTGATTCATTAAAACAAATATTTGTGTTACTTTCTTTTGCCTGTTAAGCCATTTTTACTGAGAAGGTCATAGGTACTCTTAAAGGCGAAAAATCGGCTTCTTAATCCCTTCTTTCTTGTAAATACACATAAATCAACTTTTAAATCTCCTCTCTCATTTTTGTTTGTTTCATCTTATTGTAAAATTGGATTTTAGTGGTTGTTATAACCTTGTTTATTCTGAGGACTGTGAAATTGAAATAAAAATGACACTATAAGTCTGATTTTCAGATACTGCTGTCCTTCCAACTAAAATAATTAATATCTGTGAGCCAAAAGCTGCACATAGGGTTCTGTTGCTTTCTCCTGTGCATCTAAAATTAGCACATTGGAGAGAGGAGTCATATCTGGAGCTCATGCCTATAAGTCCAGCTCAGGAGGCTGAGGCAGGAGGACCACTGCAAGTCTGAGGTCAGCCTGGGATATATAGTGAGTTTAATCTAGGCTTGGTTACAGAGTAAGACACTATTCAAAACCCCAAATACACACACACACACATCCACACACACCCTTTGAGTTCACAAAATTGAGCACTTTTTTTTCACTTGGTAATTTCTGATACTTAAATGTCTTCTCATAAATATTTAACTGAAGCACTGGTTTTTTTTTTTTGTTCTGTATCATTGAGAAGACTACTCACTGTCCCCTGTGACTCAGTTTCATTTTATGTAAAATGGCAAGTGTCATTGGCAGGTTTAAATAACCAACATTGGTAAAGAGTATCGAATATCTGATATATACGGTCAATCATGGGACAATGGGGGCTTGTGGAGTTTCTGCAGTTGTTACTGTTACCTCCAATTTCAGAACCCAAGCATCTTTTCCTTTCATTTGAATGTACTTCTCAGGTACGTGCCCACCAAAGATCTTCTGAGAATTTACGATAATCTCTATGGTCGAAAAGTCATCACTGAAAATGTCATCGTTGACTGCACATACCTTCAGTTCCTGGCAATGTAAGTGTGAGCCCGAGGGGAGTTTGCAGCTGGGTTATGGAGGTTTCCTGAGCACCCCTTTTCATACCTTAGCTCTCGGGGTGCACTGTGAAGGCAGTTACACGACAGAAGATGCACATGGCTGCAACAGTCTCTTCGTTACTTGCTTCACTCTTCTATAGGAAGTGCAACTCAGGGAGACGCTTATTTGTGTTGCAGGCATGGGGAGATGCTGGCTGTTTCCAAGGTAAAGACCTGCTTTTTCTGAATCCTGGCTAAAGGACCGTGCAGACAGTGCGGCGCCTTACTCTTCCTGCCTCCCACTGCAGCTCTATTCCACATACTCCACGAAGTCCCCGTTTCTGGTGGAACAGTTCCAAGAGTATTTCCTGGGAGGACTGGATGACATGGCGTTCTGGTCCACGAACATCTACCGTCTGACCAGCTTTATGCTGGAGAATGGGACCAGGTGAGTTTTGTCTTGCCGCATTCCCCACATAACGCTTGCATTTTTGGCTGATGAGGCCAAACTCAAAGGAAAGTAACTCAGAAGTGTTGTCTAAAGTGGTTCACAGAGAAAACAATGGGAACTCTAAAACCTAACCTGGGGGTGGGGAGCATATGGCTGGCTTGGTGAATGCCTCTCACATTTCAGGGACAGAGGGACAGAGAGGCAGACATGTCAGAACTTGGGATCACCAAGAAGTATCTCATACACACCTCCCCCATCCCTCCAAATCAAATCACCAATGGGTGGTTTGTCAAGCACAGGCTCTGGAGGAAATCTGATGGAGAGCATCCGTGGGACTGCTGCTCAGCCCCTGCGGGGCTCTTATCGCCTTCACTTTGTCATGTTTGGGACCAGAGCTACTTAGAGACCAAACATAATCAGAGCAAACAGGAAGTAGGTCTTTAGGAAGAACTAACTGTCCCTAGGTCCTGGGAAGCCTCTGTTGGTCAGAGAAACCACACAGCTGCCCCAGATGAGCTGCTGGGACGCTGTGGGTAGGAAGGGTAGGAAAAGGCACAGCTGCCTCTGCAGAGGAGAAGCTTAGCTGGGCCAGCACAGCCATCAGTAGGGATGCTGGCTCTTTGAGCAAGAGCTGTTCTCCAGAGCTGGTTCCAGGTCAGGAACTCAGAGCATGGGTGTTGATAGGTTGGAGTGCCTACAGGCTTGTAGCTCCAGAAGATTATGTGATGTGTTCTTAAAAACCTTTGCTGTTTCCACTCATTGTTAATCATAATTACACAGTGTTGATTTGAAACGAAATTCTCCTTGGTGCTAAGACTGACTTCAGCCTATGGTTTAGTAGAGATTACCAATCAAGTATAAATCCTATTTAATGTTACTTTTTGTGTGTACGTATGGTTACATGTGTGTGCACATGCATGGAGACCTGAGGTTGATGTGGGTGTCTTCCTCGGTTATTATATCTTGTGACTTAGTCCCTTGCTGAATTCTAAGCTCCCTTATTGCAGATAATCTGACTATCTAGCTCACTTGGAGATCTCTCATCTCCATCTTCTGAACACCATGCCCACCTTTCTTTCATTTATGTGAGCTCTAGGGAACAGAACTCTAGTCCTCACACTTACACAACAGGTGTTTTACTTTCTGAGTGATTTCGCCAGCTCCAAAATCTTATTTTAACAATTAGCAAAATCTCAAGTCAGATCCCTTAGCCCTTGCAGTGGAGTATGGTGTGTGTGTGTGTGTGTGTGTGTGTGTGTGTGTGTGTGTGTGTGTGTACATGCAGAGAACCATTCCTCAAATACTCTGTACTTTATTTTTTGAGACAGGGCCTGTCATTGATCTGGAGCCTGGTGATTAGAGTAGACAACTAGGCAGGCTGGCCACTGAGCTCCAGATGTCTGCCTGATTCTGTAGGCCACCTTACCAGGCCATGGGTGCTGGGAATCAAATACAGGTCTTCATACTTGCAGGCACTGACTGACTTACCTTCCCAGCTTCTGAGAGTTTTTGGGTGCATGCTAGCCTGGATGTAGAAAGGGTGGGGTTTGGAATTGGAGACACCTCCTTCTCATCACTGAGTTTTGTTTCACCAGTTGCTAACCCTCCTTAAGCCTTCAATTCCTTTTAAATGGGGACACTCACCATTCCATCTTTATGAGGGTGTGAGGAGTCAGTGACAGCCCTTGTGCAAAGGGTTTAACATGCAGAAAGCACTTAATAAGTGCTGGCTCCATTATCGTGATTGCTATTAGGTGGAAGTTGAGTTTATAGTGGCAGAACTCAGCATGCCCAGTCATAATCGAGTGAGTAACCTCCATTTCTTCCCCATCACCTCTCTGCCACATGCAACAGTCCTCAAGCCTAGCCCCATTTCTGGGTGATTTTGGTCTGGTTGTACATAACTATGGAAAGCCAGAAGAGCACGTGCTTATCTCTGTTCTAATTTACCAACACGCAAAACTTCCCAAAGTGATTGCGCGCGCGCACGCACACACACACACACACACACACACACACACACACACACACCAGAGAGAGAGAGAGTACATTCATTGTATTTGAAACCTACAGTGGACTTCCTGAAGAAACAGTGAAACGATACTTATGCCCCAGCCAGACTTCTGCCCACCTCAGAAATGTGCTGTGAGTTTAGTGCTGGCCTTTTCAAATTGTCTTCTGAAAAGTGGTGTAAAGAGGATTCAAAGAGGAAGCCCTTTCCTCAGCGCAGAGTTGGCCCAGTGGATAGAGAAAGTGTGTGTGCACATACAGTGAGTTTTACTCAGCAGGAAGAATGGAATTATATCATCTGCAGGGAAATGGAGCTGAAGATGATCATATTAACCAAAATAAGACAGACCCAAAATATCAATTTTTCTCTCACTGAGGTACCACACATACCATAAACTATTAGGAGGAAAAGCAGAGTTTCTGACAGGGAAGAAGGGAAATGGGGGAAAGAGAAATGAGATGCTGATTATGGTCTCAGTACATGATATATATGAGTTAAAATGTCATTATGAAGCCACTTTATACAATGAAATCCTCCAAAAAGGAAGGGGGCTGGGATGTAGCTCAGTTGGTGGGATGGATAAAGTTGTGGCCCAAGAGGGACTCTGACAGGGCGGCGTGAGGGACTCTGACAGGGCGGTGTGGAAAGATTGCTCTCAGCTCCTTCTTGCACTGTTTCCCCAGTTCCGGGTCCAGCACCTGGTTTTCCCTTGCTGTAAAACCTTCGTGCATCTCCTCGCCCCCTCCAGGGCCTCTATAGATTCCCTTCAAAGGCCTGTTCCTCCCATAACGTCCACACCTACTCCTATAAAGTCTCTCACTGAATGAGGTCATCCCTTACATTTTCCAAAGTGTCTCACTTGTAAAAGAGAAACTTGAATCTGTAGAGTTTTGGAAGGGAATGAAACTGAATGCCATAGATCTGTCTGGTGTAATTGGCATAACTGGGCAAAGGTGCTGTGATTGGGACCCAATTTGTATGATGTTCTCAGACTCTGGACATTTCATGTTTGCATGATAGTGCATTGGACTTCTAGTGACAAGTGTGGTGTAAAGTGCATCACTGATTCCCTGTCAAAAATATGCTTGGAGAGAAGGAAGACAAATGCCTAACTCCTTCCACTGTTTCCCAGTGACTGCCACCTGCCTGAGAACCCTCTGTTCATCACATGTGACGGCCGGAGGAACCACACCCTCCGGTAAGTGTGTCCAGAATCATTTGTATCACAAGAATGCCTCACCAAGAGGGACTGCCCTGGGAGAGGGTGGAGCAAGGGGGTCTTCAGACAGACAGACAAGGTTCCTATTCTAGCTGAGCCATTTACAACTGGGTGACTTTTTAACACACTGGTAAATGTTTTTGAGCGACAGCTCTTCCTTCTGATAGGGAAAAATGCATCTAGGGTCCTAAAATAGTGGCACAGGCTACAGATGATAGTGGGAGTAAGGCAGAGGCATGCAGCAGCTGTCCACTGAGTGGTCATTGCTATTCTTACTGACTATCACTATTATTGTGACTTACGAACCTTCCCCAGACTCCATCTGGAAAAGCATTTCATTCACAAGGTGGGAAGAAGTAGAGGTTTCTGAGGAATAAGCTACAAGTCCTGGTTGATACTGTTAGAGCTTGTGTCTCCTGCTGGAGTCAGGAACCAGCCTCCAATTCATGATATTATCAACATAAAGGGATATCATCCATTGTGAATAAAATAAAGCAATAACATAAATAATAAAAGTACTTGGAGATAGTCATTGTACCAGGAACTCACAGCACATGACCTGACAGCCAGATGAGCACTGAACATGTCATTGTAAAGATTGATGAGCCTTGGAGAGGGAAGGGCTGGATACTCTGGGAATGTAGCATGATGGCCCAACCAGAGCCCAACAGAGTTCCCTTGAAGAACCAATGAGGTATTTAAAAGCAAAAACCTTAAATACTACAGTGAGCGCTTTACCATGAGACATCCTAAAGGGATTTTTAATGCATGGAGAGAATTAAAAGATGAAGGAAGGGTTCCACCCAGCCTTTGTCGCCTTTGTTGTTTCCTTCTTTAAAGCAAGTAAGTCTGGTTGTTGCTTTATTTTCAAATGAGCATCTTTAGATTAAGCTTGCTGTCTGTGACTTGCCCAGGGTCTATTGTTCCCTTACCCTTAAGTGTTCTGAAGCCAGAGTGGCTCTTCTAGGCATCTGTGGTTTGGCTGGCTAAGATAAATGATTTTTTTATTTTATTTTTAAATTTAAATTTAAATTAGAAACAAGGTTGCTTCACATGTCAATTCCAGGTCCCTCTCCCTTCCCCTCCCCTCCTCCCATGCCGTCCCACCAACCCCCCCCCCCATGTGATTCTTTTTTTTAAAAAAGACAGCAGCTCTTGTTGTCCAGGCTGCCCTTTAGCTCACTGTGTAGCTCGGGCTGACATTGAACTCCTGATTTTCCAATCTCTGGCCCTCAAGTACTAGGGTTACAGGCATGTGCTGTTGTACCAATCTGAGATCTCAACATGTGTGTGTATCTTCATCAGGCAGTATTAACGTGTGTACCTTCAGCTCAGTATCTTGAGGGGATGGTAGTCTTCTTGGGTTTGATCATATTTTTCCTCTCTCTTTTCAACAGTTCAAAAGTGCAGAAAAATGATTTTCACAGGAATCTGACTGTGTTCATAAGTAAAGATATCAGGAAAAACCTGAACTACACAGAAAGAGGCGTGTTCTACAGCACAGGCTCCTGGGCGCCGGTGAGAACTCCCTGTTACCAATGAAGGAGTAGGGAACACTTCTCAGGACAGCTTGCTTGCAGAGTCCCTGCGTGTTGCTGTCCATACAGTTATCTGGGTTTGTGCCAGGCCGGCAAATGTCCTCGGTCTCAAAATATGATGTATTCCAGAGATGGCGAAGGCATAAATGTGGGCCAGTCAAAGTTTGTGTGCAGCCTGCTGGCAGGATGGTGGCAGGGAAGACAGAAGACATGCTGCTTATATCTACAGGTCCTTACATCAGTGTTTCTCCCAGCCTGGGCTGGCTGGCCTGCTTCCATGTTCTCAGCTGGATATGCTTTGCTGTCCTCTGCTGGGGCATAGGAAGTCTTCTTTGGTCTTATGTCACCCTTTGGCAAATTTAGAATTGTGTTCCCTTAATTTGGATGAATCAAATGTTTATCGGCTTGCTAAGGACTGCCCTAGTTTGTGCTATGTCTTTGTAGTCAGAATTTCAAGACAGTTGGGTAGTTCTATATGGTGATTATACTGGTGACCCTCACACTGGTGATCCCACTACCTAGGATGCTGAAGCAGGGGGATTGCTATGAGTTGAAGCCAGCCTAGGCTATAGAATGTGATGCTGTCCCCAGACAAAAGCAAAACTAAATAAATGAAAAAAGTGACAGTTTAGAATTCCAAGAGTGGTGGCCAGTTGTCCCTAGGTTCCCTTGCATAGACCTCCAGTTCTGTGAAGGACCTCTCCTGTTTCCTAGGCAGCTTGAGAGTCAAAACAGATAGTCAGTATCTCACTATGGGTGTGTCTCAGAGCAGTGGCTCTCAACCTTCCTAATGCTGGGACCCTTTAATACAGTTCCTCATATGTGGTGACCTGCTCCCTAATGCTGGGACCCTTTAATACAATTCCTCATATGTGGTGACCTGTGCCCCAACCACATTTAGTTGCTACTTCCTAACTGTAATTTTGCTACTATTATGGATCTTAATATAAATTTTTGGAAATAGAGGTTTGTCAATGCGATCTCAACTCACAGATTGAGAACCCCTGGCTTAGAGGGTAGGAATTTTTAGAATCCTGATGTTGCTCCAGTTCATTTGTTTGATAAAGATGAACCATCTGTTTACAAACATAATCCTGGCTCTATATTGACCAGGCTTGCCTTTCCTAAAATTTTGGTCTGTAAAAATTCTTTCTTTTTTTTTTTCAGTCACTCTTTGAGTCCCAGCACTTGGGAAGCTGAGCCAGGGAGCTCTCCATGAGTTCAAGGCCAGCATGGCCTATGCAGTGAGTCCTAGGCCAGCAATATCTTGTATGAGATCATGTCAAAAAACAAAACAAAACATCCAAAACCAAAACACACACACACACACACACACACACACACACACTTTGTGGTTTTGAATCTTCAAATCAATGCAGACTGCTGGCTCTGAAGAAATCCTAGCTGACTCTTCCCTGGTAGCCCATTGTCTCAGGCCACACCTTGCCATCTCAGTGGGACTCTGCTGTCTCTGTCACCTGGCCTAAGCGAGCACACTGACATGAACGGATGTTTCATTTGTCAGGCCGGGTTAGAACTCATTTTATTTGTCAGAGTCCTATGACTCCTGTTGACAATGCCATGCGTCTTCACACAACTCAAATAACCTTTTGTTTCAGGAATCTGTGACCTTTATGTACCAGACTCTGGAGAGGAACCTGAGGATGATGTTTTCTGGCAGCTCACAGACTCCTCTAAAGCATGTCTCCAGCCCCTCTGCCTCCTACTTCCTGTCTGTCCCCTATGCCAGGCTTGGCTGGTAAGAATGAGTTCAGTAGATGGGGGAGGTGTTGTATTCCATTCCTTCATCAACGTAGGGGTGGCATCATATGGAGCCATTACTTTCCCTATATTTTAGAAGAAATTAGGAAACAGAAAAATGGATTCATTTAAAATTTGAGTGAACTGGGGACAGAAAGAAATCTAACTTCCTCCCTGCTGTGTTGTGACTGTCTCACAGTTACAGAAGGTTGGGGACAAACATGAGTCAATATAACTCTAAGACAAGCTCCCTGCTCCTCTCCAGGGGAAAGTAGATCTGGGCCCCAAGTTGCCTCTGTTTCTTTAGAGAGTTTTTGTTCAAGTCCAGAGTGAGAGAAATGTCTGTCTTAGCTTGCTTTCTACTGCTGTGATAAAACACCATGGCCAAAGGCCACTTGCGGAGGAGAGAGTTTGCCTGGCCTTCATGTCCAAATCACAGTGCATCATCAGGGAAGCCAAGGCAAAGACTCAAACTGGGCAGGGACCTGGAAGCAGGAACTGAATCAGAGGTCATGGAGGAAGCTGCTCAGCCCGCTTTCTCATACAACCCAGCACGGCCTGCCCAGCGGTGGCACTGCCCACAGTAGTCTGGACCGCCCACATCCATCATTAATCAAGAAAATGCCTCATAGACTTGTCTGTAGGTCAATCTAGTGGAAGCATTTTCTCAGTTGAAGTTCCCTCTTTCCAGATGTCCCTGATTTATGTCAACTTGGCAAAAAACTAACCGGCACAGGGGCTTTAAATAATGTCTTTTAAGATTTAAAATGTTTTAAGGCCGGGCGTTGGTGGCGCACGCCTTTAATCCCAGCACTCGGCAGGCAGATCTCTGTGAGTTCGAGGACAGCCTGGTCTACCGAGTGAGTTCGAGGACAGCCTCCAAAACAATACAGAGAAACCCTGTCTTGAAAAAACCAAAAAAAAAAAAAAAAAAAAAAAAGAAAAAAAGAAAAAAGAAAAGATTTAAAATGTTTTATATATCCTGGAAAATGGGTTCATACACACCTCCAGTTTTGAAAGAGAAAAGAATTGTTTGGTGCAGTGAAGTATAAGGTCCCTGACTCATTCCCTGGCCGTCAGAATTCTTTTTCCCAAGTCCCATTCTTTACATAGGTTTAGAGTTGGAAGTCATTTCTTTAGAAGCTAGACTCGTTTCCTGAATTCCTGTTAGACACACTGATACTACAAGTGAAAAGGGGTGAACTGGAAAGCTGAAGAGAGAGGCATGATGGTGTCTCTTGAGAATGTCTCTCCTTCGGCAGGGCTCCCGCAGAGGACCCTGGTTACATTAGAACCCATTTTTCCACCTTTAATCCAGGCACTCAGAAAGGCAGAAGCAGACGAATCTCTGAGTTTGAGACCAACCTGGTCTATATAGTGAGTTCTAGGACATCTAGGTCTACATGTTTTGAGACAGGTCTATCCTGTCTCAAAACAAACAAATGAAAAAACAATCAACCCCAAACAAACAATGGAGAACCCCATTTCATAATTAATCATAAAAATCATTAATTTAATGTCTAAACTATATAAGTTCCAATAGCTTTTTATAGTTGGTCAAATATATTTAAGCACCAGGATCTTTCACTTTGCTAAGTAATCGCAACAACGAAGTGTATTTTGTAGAGTATCTTCAAGGCCCCAGTGTTCTTAGGGATTTATTTTCATGGGCTTTCCCCCTGTAGTGCAATGATACTCCAGGAATGAAGGCAGAGAGCTCTGACGATGATTTGAATACAGTTGCTTCTTCTGGTGAAAGTCTGGTACCCACTGATCACCTCATCGAGAGAGCTGGGGATTCATTTGATTTCGAACCTAGCCATGGGCATGAAAGTGACTTCTGGATGATTTGGCAACACTGCTGTCTTCTCAGTGGGGTTCCTGGTGGCCCTTTATTTGGGGGACACTGACACATGCAGCAAACGAAGGGAACAGGGAGGTAAATCCCTCCTCTCTGCTGTCATTCATGTGTGAGCAAAGGCTCTTCTTAGCCACATTCCTGCAAGAGCCACAGGTGGGAGCTGCGGGGCTGGCAGCCACAAGAAGCAGGGCCTAGTCTTAGCCTCAGGGGCTCTGCTCTGGCCTGCGCCCTTCCACCATGCATCTTAGAAACTGTGTCATGTTACTTGTTCTTTCCATGGCTGTGTGAGCTAGAATTAGCATAACTTTTATTCTTTTCAGTCCCGGGGTGACAAGTGAACCATTGACTGTCATCTCTATAACCAGTCAGTCACAAATCCCACTTGGAAGTACTTACTTGATACAAAAATGCAACTCTCATCACAGAGTGTATTCTAGAGCCAATTATGAGTGACCGAGGTCTAAGAACACAGACTTGGGTCACGCCAAATGCTGTGTTTCAGTGTGGTAACAGTTTCATGGAGTTTTAATAGTGACATAAAAGAAAAAGTTATAAATCAAGACACTTAAAAATATATTGGTGCACCAGGCATGATGGCACACCCCTTTAATCCCAGCACTTGGGAGTCAGAGGCAGCAGGATCTCTGAGTTTTGGGCCAGCCTGGTCTACATAGTGAGTTCCAGGCCAGTTGAGGCTACATAGTGAGACCCTGTCTCAAAACAAATAACAAAATATGTTGGTGGGACCATCAAGCAGTTTGGATAGAATAAAATGGCTGCTACAGGTCTCAGATGCTATCCATAACTTTCTTAGCCTTGGGGTTGGTTGAAGCTTCACGTCTTTTAATACATCCCTGAAGGATTTCCCCAATCATCTCAAGGGTGTGAGGTCAGACGCAGGTGGACAATTAACTGCCACTGAGATGCCAAAGACAATCCAAGATAATCTGGCTCTGGATTTGCTCTCCACAATCGGGGACTTCCAATAAACCTTGCAGAATCTTTAACACAGGTGTGGCCTTTTCCACTTTAGGGACATCATTTCATATACTACATATGTTGGATACCCAATTTAATTCCATAAAAGTTGGGCTGTGTTGGTAGGGTGGAAATAAACAGTATTTGATTAAGTAACGGTGGACCAAACAGGCCAATCCAGGATCTTAGTGGCTGCTTGTAGAACACACACTTTTATGAGGCTGTTCTTTTCCTACTCTGGCTTTGTGGTCCAGGAAGGCCCAGATACCTCTAGCTGTCAAGTTTGGTTTTGTTTCCCCCTATGGAGAATGACTTTGAATCCCACAAGTGATATAGCTCCCCAGATGAATGTTCCCAGCGGTCACTCAGAATGCAGAGTCAGCTGGGAAATCTGAATTGCTGGGTTCCGGAAAGGAGAGCAGGCAGTGTTACCATAGCCCTCAGTTCTCTTCTTCTCTAAGGGTCATGGCTTCAGCTGACCTCAACCAGGATGGGCACAGTGACCTCGTGGTGGGTGCACCAGGCTACAGCCACCCTGGCCGCTTCCAGATTGGGCGGGTATACATCATCTATGGCAATGATCTGGGCCTGCCCCCCATCGACCTAGACCTAGACAAGGAGGCCCACGGGATCCTGCAGGGCTTCCAGGTGAGACCTCCTGTCACGTCTTTCCTCTCTTAGGGGTGAGTAAGCCACTGCTGACATTTTGGTATGTTTTCATTGTCTTTCTGGTACTGGGGGTTCAATCCAGGACTTCCTACATGTCAGGCAAGTGCTCTACTGCTGAGCCCACTGCAGCCCTCACTCAGGCTACTAGGCAAGCACTCTTTGGCTGAGCCCTCTCCCTCGCTCCTCACAGAGCGTGCTAAGCAAGCGCTCTACTGCTGAGCCACAGTAGATGCTGTGGTCAGAATTGTACCACTGACCCATGCCCCCAGCCTTTCGTTTGGGGAGTCTAGGCAGGTACTCTACCACTGAGCCATGCCCCCAGCCCCTCATTGGTGGGGTTCTAGTAGCACCCTACTGCTGAGCCACTGCCCCCAGTCTGCACATTTTGAGACACATTCTCCAGACGAGTCCCTCCTCAGGGGAATGACTACAGTGCTGCCTACACGGATGCAGTGCATTTTATCGGTAGGTCACCTTCACTTCATTTATCTCCATCTGTTACTACCTCTGCGTATGAAACACAATGCCTTCCCCACATACGCATGCCATTTACACCAGCTTCAAGTGGAATTTGATTTCTTTTCTATTTTAAGAGACAGGGTCTCACACTGTAGCCCAGGCTTCCCTGGAATTCATTATGTAGTCCAAGCAGGCCTTGAGCTCCTCAGTGCCTCTTCTTCCAAGTTCTGAGGTTGGTAGCATGAAGAGCTGCGGTTGTTTGATGCAGTGCAGTGAGTGAGGATGGAATTCCCATATGCCTTTCTTCGTTTCTGCTGTGCAACTGTCTTCAATAATTGTGGAGCGTTTACCACAGCAAAAACCTGCCATCGGCCCATCTTTGAACTCCAGGCTTTGCTTAGATATCATTGCTGTACTCTGATCAGTTTTTCATCCCTAGGGGAAACTCACAGTCATTGTGTGTGTTTCTCACTGAATCGGAGTGTTCGTTTCTCTTGGGAACACTTAGGGTCCTAGAGGGCTTTGCAGACACAGAAGGTATTAGCCATTTTAGTAGCAAGGAGGAGCACCAGAACCTCACTGCTGGTCACAGGAGAGGCTTTGGTGGCACCGGCCTCATCCTGAATCTTTGAGTGTCAAGTGCCTAGGATTAGGAACCTAGATTTGAGGATCAGTGGTGGCTCTCTGACTGGGCAAGTCACTTCTCCATTGCTAGTTATTAATGCTGTGGGGGGAAAGATGTCATCATACCTACCTGTAAAGACAAAAAACAAAACAAAAACAATCAAAAGTACCAGGGGTTTGTGATCTAGTTTAGGTTCTGACGAAAGCAGTCGTGGCCCTGCCATGTGGAAATGAGTTGCCTACCCAGTATATGAGGTCACATTGTAGAGGCTGTTCCATTTTTTGAAGCCTTCTGAAACCACAAGAAATATTTCCCAAATAAATCAAGCTATCCCTGTCTCTTTTACTGCTGCACAGTCACTACTGTTAGACAAATGGGTAAAGTCCAAAATTCTGGCCAGTGGCTTCCTGCAGGACACATTCCCTAAGTCCACATGGGATGGGAGGTGGTGGCTCCCCAATGCCCTCCTCCCCTGTGACCTTTGGCAGTTTGGAAGATTGCCAGAAAAAGGCATGAACTAGACTTTGGAAGCCTGTGCCCAGCCTTGTGTCATCATGAGCCTCGCTTTGTTCTTGGCTCCCAGGGAGTATTAGGTTGCTACTCTGCTTTGCTGTGAATGAGTGGCGGGATCTTAACACAGATTAACAGCACAGCCGCTGAAGGTGACACAGCCCATCTCCAGAGGGCAAGGCTCAGTTCCCCCACCCAACCCTAGCATGCCTTCAGTTCTGGAGTAGTCCCTGTCCTTTGTCATGCTCCCGGATCATTTATTTCAAAAGGCCAGATGCCACAGATACCATTGCACACACTGAAAGAGTTAGTCAAGGGATAATATGTGGGCCACTGGGTCATGTGTGATGTGGCAACATCACTATTGCCAGACAATTCCTTGTGGTGTAAGCTGTGGAAGGCATAGAGAAGCAGCTGGTGAGTTAGGTTTAGGCTGATTTTAGATAGGAGCAGGAAAAATATCCGTAGAGAAACATCTATGCTGGGAACAAGTTATGTTGGGCTAGAACAAGTTTTTGTCTTATGAAAGGCATGTGAGGTTAGTAATAATAGCAACTGACTTGTACAGCTCCATAGAATGTTCTGCCTTGGTGGGGAGGTTCCACAGCTGTGCTTTGCAGGGTAAGAACCATCGAAAGTGGGTGTTTGTGTATGTGAAAGTGGCAGCTGGGAGACTGGTTTGTATTCATTACTTGAAATTGAAATATACAGCCATCCTAGGCCTGCAGCTACCACTCCCCAGCCTTACATTGTAGGTGAGCTGCCCTGAGCCCACAGACGGGGCTGTTGCTGCTGCTGTTCCTTTGGGGCTGTTACTGAAACTCTCAGCTCAGCCTGGTGGCGTAGGCCTTCCAGCCTAGCTACTCAGGAGGTTAAGACAGGAGGAAAGGTCACAAGTTCAAGGCCTGCCTCAGTTACAAAGTGAGTTCAAGGACAGCTTGGGCAATTTAGTGAGACCCTATCTCAAAATGGAAAAAAGAAAAAAATACAAAAAGGGCTGAGGATATAGCTCAATGGTGGAGTACTTTCCTAGCATGTGTGAGACATTCAGCTCAACACCTAGCACCCCCCCCCAACACACACAGGATATTGTAGTGTGGGTTGAAGTGCACACACAAGACCATGTCTACACATCTAGAGCTCCTCAGGACTATCTGCTCTCTTGTACTTCAGTTTCTCCTCCAGACAGACAGACTTACCTGACGTCCCCTAAGGCAGAGCTACCCAAATGTGCTACCTAGCAGTGAGGTTTTGGGCCTCTGCCTGTGGGCAATAGGTTGGGGCCCAGGCTTTCCACACTGAGTCTGGAGGACATGCTTAGCCCATAGAACTAACTGTGTTTCCTCAGCCTTCAGGTCGCTTTGGCTCCGCTTTGGCCGTGCTGGACTTCAACATGGATGGGCTTCCTGACTTGGCTGTGGGTGCCCCCTCTGTGGGCTCAGGGCAGCTCACCTACAATGTAAGGCTGGGGAGAAGGCAGAGGTGGGGAAGGGGCCAGGGAGCAGAGTGCCTGTCAGGAGGAGATGGGAACTGAGAGGGCTTCTGGAGAAGAGCCCGTCAGATCCTTGGACACACCGCAGTGACTGCAGATTGGGAGGCAGGGATAAATCCCCCCCCCCCAGTCTCTCTTAAATCTAATGGAAATGAAGATTTAAAAGAAACATAGCTAGGTATGGTGATACATAATCTGTGACAGAGGGTTGAAGCAGGAGGATATCCTTGAGTTCAAGGCCAGCCTGGTTTGCATAGTGAATTCCAGGCCAGTGTGGGATAAATACACAGCAAAACCTTGTGTTACACAAACAACGATGACCTCCCATGTCCAGACCGAGTTTCTGGGGACAGTGAGTCCTCTCTGTTTTGCTGTGATCTAGGGTTCAGGGTTATTGACACCATGAAAGCATATGGTTTGCTGTCATTTGTGCTTGTCTAGGGTGCAGTGTATGTCTACTATGGGTCTCAGCAAGGGAAGCTGTCTCCTTCCCCCAACATCACCATCTCCTGCAAGGTATGTCTTGGCCTCATGTTGGGGACTCACTCAGCTCTGCCCATGGCCTCTGGGGCTGATGGATTCCTTTTTTCCCTTCTAAGGACACCTATTGTAACCTGGGCTGGACCCTCCTGTCAGCAGATATGGATGGAGATGGCCAGCCTGACCTGGTGATCAGCTCACCTTTTGCACCTGGTGGAGGGAAGCAGCGAGGGATCGTGGCTGCCTTTTATTCACGGCCCAGACAGAGTGACAAAGGTAGAACTGGTGGGGGGGGGGCAGGGATTCCAGCTTGACTGTGCTGCACGATGTCTCTTGCATAGGGAATTGTGTTCTTTACCTGAATGTGCTATAATGTCACGTGCTAAGAGACAGGATCTCATGCAGGCAGGGACTGGCAAAAGATGGGGAGAGAATTGCCAATGAGGGCAGGTGAGAGGGCCCAGTGGGTAAAGGGGCTTGCTGCTAAGCCTGACACCTGAGCTTGATCTCCAGAATCCATATGGTAGAGGGACAGAACTAACTCCAAAAAGTTGCTCTTTGACTTCCCTGTGCATGCCATGGCATGTGTGTACCCAAACACATACACACACACACACACACACACACACACACACACACACACACCAGAAACAAATGTTTAAAAATATTAACTCTGAGTATAAAAAAATCACAAAGGGGACAAGAGGTTATTCTTTTTTAAACATAATTTTAATTGATTCTTTGAGAATTTCACATTATGTACTTCAATCCTGCTCATTTCCCAGTCTCTCCATGTCTACCCCTCACCCCCATAACATCCCCCATAAGAGACATTTAAAAATTAATTAAAAACAAAACAAAGTAAGGAACCAAACAAATACCCACTTCACTCCTCATCTTTCTTTTCTCTGCACCCTTTTCATTTGTATTAGTGTCATTGGGAGATGTGGTGTGTTGAGAAGTATACCTTTTGGTCCACTCAGCTCTCCTTGCAAATGTTCATTGTGTAATGTGTTGTTGGTCCAGTTCAAGGCCTCTGACTTCTGGTAAATCATCAATGCTGGACCCTCACCGAGACTCCTCTGATATCCTGCTGTTGCCCTGAGTCATGGAGATCCTGTGGCTATGGTTGCCCAGTTCCCTTACGTACTCCTGCAGGTCATAGATGGGGTAGATGTTGGAGTGTGCCAGTTCAAAGTCTGTGGGTCAGGGTGATGGCTGATTTTGTCAGTCCTGGCCACTGGGACTGGCCCCCTCAGGCAAGGGGTGCAGCCAGCTCTTCTATGCCTATAGCATTAGGGCCAGCTCTTACAGGCCTGTGGCGAGGGGTGAGGACATCTCTCCTAAATGTGGTGGCCCTGACCTTGGCTATTCTTATGGTCTTTGATGGTAACACAGGCCACAGACATCAACACAGACCCCATCTGTGGTAGGACCACATATTCAGATGTGATTCTTGACTGAAACTAATGCCTAAATGTCACCATGGCCCTGTGTGGCAGTGTAGGACACTCAGATCTGTATGGCCCCAGCTGCAGCATGACCCTCAGACACCAACATGGCCTTAGGTGGCATCCTCAACCCTGGGTATTCACACAGCCTTGATGGTAACAGGCTACATGGACATCAACACAGACCCCAGCTGCAGTAGGGCCACAGACCCAGACATGGCTCTTGACCATAGTTTGAGTCCAGTTGACACCATGGCCCAGGGTGGCAGCACAGACCACCCAGATCAGTATGACCCTGGTGGAAGAGGTTATTCTCACAGCTTCAACGAGTGAAATAGGAATTCTACAAAGGCTGAGGTCAAAGTTATCCCAGATGTTCCAACTGCCCTGAGAAAGGTCTTTCTAAATAGTATCTTTACCTGCTGGAAATGAGCTCCAGAAACACACTTCTTGTCTGAAGAGTGACATCTACTTCTGATGCTGGGGTCCTGGGATCCATATATGTATGACAAAGGGGTTCTGGCAAAATCTCAGAAGCGGGGAACTAGTTCTCATATGTTCATAAACAGGAAGCATCCTTTCAGTTCCAGGTCCTTCCGCACAAAGGGAGTGAGTACCATTAATTCATTCAGTCATGTAGGGGTTTATTTTTGTTTTAAAACAGGGTCTCATGCCACCCAGCCTAGTCTCAAACTGCATAGAGCCAAGGATGACCTTGAACTCTTGATCGTTCTGCCTCCATATCCCAAGTTCTAAGATTATATATGTGCATCACCATGCCCGTAACACACCTTTCTTTGCTTCTTTCATGTTCATTTACTGGGACTGGGTGTCACTGATTGGTGATTAGTTGGTTGGTTGATGGAGATGGGTTTTCTTTAGAAACACTGACTGCAGAGGAAGCTGACTGGAACGTGAGCGGTGAGGAGGACTTCTCTTGGTTTGGATACTCCCTCCATGGGGTCACAGTGACAAACAGAACCCTGCTGTTGGTTGGGAGCCCAACTTGGAAGAACGCCAGCAGGTCAGTGTTGGCATTGGCATCTGGGGAAACAATGTTCATAGGGGCAAGTGTCAGTTATTCTGGGACCTTATTAAGTGTGGGGTGCAAAGAAAGGGGTGAGTGGCTGTTGCCCTTAGAAGGAACAGCCTCAGCTCTGGAGGGAGGCCACGGACTTTTCATCTTAGAAGCTGCAGTTGGCAAGAACCACAGCAACAAACTCCTCTCAGCCCAGGCTTTAAACACAGAAATATTTCATTTTACTGTCCTGGAGGTTGGGAATCCAGGACCAGAGTGTGGGTAGGGTTCTTGTGAAGCCTCTGTTTGGCTTATATACAGACGTCTTCCTTCTGTCCTTACAGAATCATCTCTGTGAGGCACAGCCCTCACCTCAAAGGGAATAAGAAACAGCTCAATTCTTAAAAAAACAAACAAACAATAAAACAAAAAACAAAAACAAAACTCTGTGTGCAGTGCCCTAAGGATCCAGAAGAGGGTGTTGTATCTCCTGGAACTGGAGTTACAGCCAGTTGTGAGCTACCATGTGGGTGCTGGGAATTGAACCTCAGTCTTCTGGAAGAGTAACCAGTGCCCATAACAGCTGAGCCATCTCTCCAGCCCCAGAAATAGTTTATTCTTGAGCCAAATGGGAGTGACTGTGGCACAGGGACACAGATTCAGGTTGCTCACATGACATGTTTCAAAGCAGTAATGGTTACATGAAATTATTTTAGTGACAGAACAAAAGAAAGTGGGAAATAAAAGCATTCACCCTCAAAATTTGTGGAAACAACTTATTCAGGTTACAGAACCATAAGGACTTCATGCTATGGCTCCAGAGGCTGCTGAGTAGGGGGGAGATGGTTTTACCCAAGAGTCACAGAGATACTAAGTCAGATAGAAGTGGGCAGTGACTGACAGTTATTAAAGGAACTAACAACAGCCCAGGGCATCTTGGCTGTGCATTGGCAGCACTGCAGCACTCTGGAAGCAAATCAATCATGTCTGCCCTGGGAATGTTACATACCTCTGGTTTGTCTGTGTACCAATCTGTTCTTATTATAAGGACGAAGTCACATTTGATTGTGGCTCTCCCAAGTGTTCTCCTTTTCACTTGGTGACCCCTTTAAAGACACTCTCTCCAATACAGTCTGATTCTGAAGTTCCGGCAGTGAGGACTTCCACACAGGGATACCGGCAGTGGAGTAGGTAGATAGTGTGATTCAACCACTGGGAGTAGGCATCCTTGCTTTTGCTGTAGTGTGGAGGTGGAGGGTGAATATTAGACCTGGGAGCCTCCATGTTGGTGAGCTTAACTTCATAGGTGCCAGTGTCTGTGGTCCAGGATTACAGGACAGAGCCCCAAGGATGCATGATGGGGTAAGGCTCAGCTTCTTCTACCATTGTGTTCTCTCCAGGAACCATGAGAAAAACAGCCTGGGAAGGGTGTATGGCTACTTTCCTCCAAACCGCCAGAGCGAAATTACTATCTCAGGAAATAAGGTATCACAGCCTCCTTCTGAAAGATGTGCTGCAGTTAGCTTGGTTGATCAGTAATGATCAATTGTTCTTTGCAGGCAATGGGAAAGCTGGGTACCTCCCTGTCAAGTGGCCATGTGAGACTGAATGGGACCCTAACACAAGTGCTATTGGTCGGAGCCCCTACTCATGGTAGGCCATCCACATGCTGTTGTTTTTAATGCAGTTGTTCTATTAACAAAGACTTGGGAGTCAGATATTGGGGTAAAAACCTGATAGATCAAAGATGTGGTGGAGGAGCAACCAGATGACTTTCTGTCCACTCTTCCCAGAACAAAAGGGAAGGACAAAAGCCTGAGAATCTCCAAGTCCCTCCCTACTCCTTCCTATACCTTTCTATCCATACACTGGGTCCTCCTATTCTCTATGACTAGTTCTTGTGAACTAATCAATGACTCTACCTCCTGACTCAAGGTTAACTTTATGAAAACAGTCTTGGGGTATCACAGTATGATCAAATATCCCACAATATTTCTTGCTTTTATCTAAATAAAAAGGAAAGGTTTTAACTCTAATACAGTAAAATATATACAATAAGAACAATTATCAGGTAAGAATTACATTGTCTAGTCCATTTGTATTTGGCAGAGAAAATACTTTATTATCTATCCTATCTTTTTTTTTATTAATATTTTTTTTATTTTCCATTTTAAATTTAGATAAGAAACAAGGTTGCTTCACAAGTCAGTACGAGGTCCCTCTCCCTTTCCCTCCCCTCCTCCCGTGCCCTCCCCCCATCACCCCCCCCCCCCCGTTATCCCCTCTTTCCCCCAGGGAGGGTGAGGCCCTCCATGGGGGTGTCCATAGTCTGTCATTTCATATAGGGCAGGGCCTAGACCCTTCCCCAAGAGTTCAGGGTGAGAGTGCACCTCACATTGTTCTATGAGAGTCCAGAGACCGTGTGTATACTTGGGATGGGTACTGATCTGCTGTCCAAGGCTCAATAGATTACCTAGGCCTCCTCACTGACACCCAGATTCAGGGGGTCTTGATCAGTCCCATGCTGGATTCCCAGGCTGATGCCTGGGATTCAAGAGTTAACCTTTGTCTGGTCAGCTGTTTCTGGGGGTTCAACCAGCCCAGTCTTAATCCCTTTGATCATCAGTCCTCCCTCTCTGATACTGGCTTTCTTGAGTTCAGCTCAGTACTTAACCAGCCAGTAAATGAAGTTTCTGTTTCCCAGACTCTCTGGCCATAGGATTGTAGGCTGGCACTCCCCAGATCTATGTCTAAAATCCATATATGAGAGAGTACATGCCATGTTTCTCTTTTTGTGACTGGGTTACCTCACTCAGGATGGTTTCTTCTAGTGTCATCCATTTGCCTGCGAATCTCATGATTCCATTATTTTTTTCTGCTGAATAGTACTCCATTGTGTAGATGTACCACATTTTCTCTATCCATTCTTCGGGTGAGGGACATCTAGGTTGCTTCCAAGTTCTGGCTATTACAAATAAAGCTGCTATGAACATAGTGGAACAGACATCTTTGTTATATGAATGGGCATCTTTTGGATATATGCCTAAGAGTGCAGTTGCTGGGTCTTGTGGTAGGTTTATTCCCATTTTTCTGAGGAATCTCCATACTGCTTTCCAAAGTGGCTGAACCAGTTGGCACTCCCACCAGCAATGGAGGAGTGTCCCCTTTCACCACATCCTCTCCAGCATAAATTGTCATTGGTGTTTTTGATTTTAGCCATTCTGACAGGAGTGAGATGGTATCTCAGAGTTGCTTTGATTTGCATTTCCCGGATGGCTAAGGATGTTGAGCACTTTCTCAAGTGCCTCTCAGCCATTTTAGACTCCTCTATTGAAAACTCTCTATTTAGTTCTGCAGCCCACTTCTTAATTGGGTCCTTTGCTGTTTTGGAGACTTGCTTCTTGAGTTCTTTGTAAATTTTGGAGATCAACCCTCTGTCAGATGTGGGATTAGTGAATATTTTTTCCCATTCTGTGGGCTGCCTTTTTGTCTTGCTGACTGTGTCCTTTGCCTTACAGAAGCTTCTCAGTTTCAGTAGGTCCCATTTATTAATTGTTGATCTCACTGTCTGTGCTACTGGTGTTATGTTCAGGAAGCTGTCTCCTGTACCAATTCTTTCAAGGGTACCACCCACTTTCTCTTCTAAGAGGTTCAGTGTGGCTGGATTTATGTTGAGGTCTTTGATCCATTTGGACTTAAGTTTTGTGCATGGCGATAAACATGGATCGATCCGCATTTTTCTACATGCCAGTCTCCAATTATGCCAGCACCATTTGTTGAAGATGCTTTCTTTATTCCATTGTATATTTTTAGCTTCTTTGTCAAAGATGAGATGTTCGTACGTGTGTGGGTTAATACCCGGATTTTCAATTCGATTCCATTGGTCTGCCTGTCTATTTTTGTGCCAATACCAAGCTGTTTTCAGGACTATAGCTCTATAATAGAGCTTGAGGTCAGGGATAGTGATGCCTCCGGACATTGCCTTGTTGAACAGGGTTGTTTTGGCTATCCTGGGTCTTTTGTTTTTCCATACAAAATTGATTATTGTTCTTTCAAGGTCTGTGAAGAATTGTGCTGGGATTTTAATGGGGATAGCATTGAATCTGTAGATTGCTTTTGGCAGGATTGCCATTTTTACTACATTGATCCTACCTATCCAAGAGCATGGGAGATCTGTCCATTTTCTGAGGGCTTCTTTAATTTCTTTCTTTAAAGATTCAAAGTTCTTACGATACAGGTCTTTCACTTGTTTGGTTAGCGTTACCCCAAGGTATTTTATGTTGTTTGTGGCAATTGTAAAGGGTGATGTTTCTCTGATTTCTCTTTCAGCCCTTTTATCATCTGTATATAGTAGGGCTACTGACTTTCTTGAGTTGATCTTGTAACCTGCCACTTTGCTGAAGGTGTTAATCAGCTGTAAGAGTTCCCTGGTAGAGTTCTTTGGGTCATTGATGTAAACTATCATATCGTCTGCAAACAGTGAAAGTTTGACTTCTTCCTTTCCAATTTGTATCCCCTTGATCCCCCTTTGTTGTCGTATGGCTATAGCTAGAACTTCAAGTACCATGTTGAAAAGGTATGGAGAGAGTGGACAGCCTTGTTTTGTTCCTGATTTTAGAGGAATTGCGTTGAGTTTCTGTCCATTTAGTTTGATGTTGGCTGTTGGTTTACTGTATATGGCTTTTATTATGTTTAAGTATGTCCCTGTTATCCCAGATCTCTCCAAGACCTTTATCATGAAGGGGTGTTGGATTTTGTCAAAGGCTTTTTCAGCATCTAGTGAGATGATCATGTGATTTTTGTTTTTCAGCTTGTTTATATGGTGGATTACGTTGATGGATTTTCGTATGTTGAACCATCCCTGCATCCCTGGGATGAAACCTACTTGATCGTGGTGCATGATTGTTTTGATGTGTTCTTGGATCCGATTTGCCAGTATTTTATTGAGTATTTTTGCATCAATGTTCATGAGGGATATTGGTCTGAAGTTCTCTTTCTTGGTTGTATCTTTGTGTGGCTTGGGGATCAAGGTTATTGAAGCCTCATAGAAAGAGTTTGGCAAAGACCCTTCTGCTTCTATTGTGTGGAACACTTTGAGAAGAATTGGTATAAGCTGTTCTTTGAATTTGTGGTAGAATTCTGCACTGAGGCCATCTGGACCTGGACTTTTTTTTGGTTGGGAGACTTTTGATGACAGCTTCTATTTCCATAGGGGTTATAGGTCTATTTAAATTGCTTATCTGTTCTTGATTTAGTTTTGGCAAATGATAGCTGTCCAGGAAGTCATCCATTTCCTTTAAATTTTCGAATTTTGTGGAGTACAGGTTTTCAAAGTATGACCTAATGATTCTCTGGATTTCCTCAGAGTCTGTTGTTATGTCCCCCTTTTCATTTCTGATTTTGTTAATTTGCGTGTTCACTCTCTGCTGTTTGGTAAGTTTGGACAAAGGTTTGTCTATCTTGTTGATTTTCTCAAAGAACCAACTCTTCGTTGCATTGATTCTTTGTATTGTTTTCCTGGTTTCTACTTTGTTGATTTCAGCCCTCAATTTGATTATTTCCTGGCGTCTACTCCTCCTGGGGGAGTTTGCTTCTTTGTGTTCTAGAGCTTTTAGCTGTGATGTTAATTCTCTGGTATAACTGTTTTCCTGTTTCTTCATGTGAGCACTTAGTGCTATGAACTTCCCCCGTAGCACTGCTTTCAAGGTGTCCCATAGGTTTGGGTATGTTGTGTCTTCATTCTCATTGAATTTGAGGAAGTCTCTAATTTCTTTTTTATTTCCTCTTTGACCCAGGGATGGTGCAGTTGAGCATTATTCAATTTCCATGAGTTTGTAGGTTTTCTGCAATTTGTGTTGTTGTTGAATTCTAATTTTAAGGCATGGTGGTCTGATAAGATGCATGGAGTTATTCCAATTTTTTTGTAGCTGCTGAGGTTTGATATGTTGCCAAGTATGTGGTCGATTTTTGAGAAGGTTCCATGTGGTGGTGAGAAGAAGGTATATTCTTTTTTATGTGGATGAAATGTTCTATAGATATCTGTTAATCCCAGTTGGGTCATTACTTCTATTAGATCCTTTGCTTCTTTGTTGAGTTCCTGTCTGGTATTCTTGTCTAGTGGTGAGAGTGGTGCGTTGAAATCTCCCACTATAACTGTGTGGGGCTTTAGATGAGATTTAAGTTCTAATAATGTTTCTTTAACGAATGTGGATGCCTTTGTATTGGGGGCATAGATGTTCAGGATAGACACTTCGTCTTGGTGGGTTTCACCTGTGATGAGTATGTAATGACCTCCTTCATCTCTTTTGATTGATTTTATTTTAAAGTCTAGTTTGTTAGATATTAGGATTGCTACCCCTGCTTGTTTCTTGGGTCCATTTGATTGAAAAATTTTTTCCCAACCTTTAACTCTCAAGTAATGTCTGTCTTTGAGGGTGAGGTGTGTTTCTTGTATGCAGCAGAAGGAAGGGTTCTGTCTTCGAATCCATTCTGCTAGTCTGTGTCTTTTTATGGGTGAGTTAAGGCCGTTAATATTGAGGGATATTAATGACCATTGATTGCTCATCCTTCTTCGATTTGCGATGGTTGTTGTTGGTGGAATTATGGGTGGAATTTCGCCCCTTTGTTCTTTTGGCTGTTGGTAGAGAGGGATT